TATACTCTAAAAACTATAACTTTATACAATTAGGATTCACTATAAAATTATATTCGGTATTATTAAATGCAAAATATTTTTTTAAATTATTAATTACATTTGTCAGTGGATTAAATTTGCTTTAATAAAGTTGGTGATGATTTTAAATAAGAATAAAATTCTGCTCAAGTTTTTTTTATTGTTACCTTTGTTAACAACATCGCCTTTAGAACTGGAACCGTAAGTGTTTTTTTCAGACGTCCACAATTTATTCAAAATAGAAAAATACTCTTTCTACTGGATCATTTGTACCAGATTTTGTGTCCCGGAGCTTTGTTTGGGGACAATGGGACAGGTGGCCGAGGAAGGGGTCAGTCCTGTTCAAAACGGGACGTATGGTCACTAGCTATAACCCTATATATAAAATTTCATAATTAGATAATATATGAGAATACATAATTCTAATATAATGCAACTAATATACCGAATAAAAAATTAAAATACATTTATCGTTGTACGCTGTGTGCATTTCTATAAAATAGTTTATTGATGTTGAAAAAATTATACTACCTTCGTACAATAGGTGGCGTCTTACATATTTCTTACGCAATATATTCGTTCGCATGGAGTAGCCCCTTAAGCCGCAGCCACTGTGATCACATGATTAAGCAGAATTCTAATGAATAGATATGAAAGGTAGTACTCGTATTTTTAATATATTCTTTAATTCAACCAAAAAAAGAAGAAAAAGTTAGTAGATCTAGGTATTTGAGATTATGTAGGTTTATCTTAAAAATACTAGTATATCCAAAAAATAAAAAGCTGAAATTATTTCCATAGTGCAATATTGCATTCGAATTGAATCGTGTAACTCAGGAAAATTAAATTGAATCGATAGTGTTTATTCTATCACATTAATTGTTTCAATCGATATCAACAAGAATCATTATTACGGTTTAGAAAAGTTTAAAAATGAACACAATGACAACGTAATTTTACGTTTCTTTGTCCTACTGTCACAGAGTAGGTATCTTTAGGAGATTCTTCATAACCTTGAAGCGTCACAACAGCTGCATGGATTACAAATAATGAGGTGTATGTCTATCAATTTGACTAAGTCGTGCAATAGCTGTAGGCTAGGTTTTATGTTTTGTCTTCGGTTATATGCAATACATGGCAATAATCAAAGGTTATTATTTACTTTAGTTCGGAAATGTTAACATTTGCATGGAATAATAATGTGGTATGATATTCATATCATTAAATAGATTTTCCTTTTTCAGTTTTTTTTACACGACAATATTAATAGCCAGATATGACATTATTTTTATTCTACCGTACATATGCGTAAGTACTACTTTTAATTTAAACGTTGCCAGTAGCATAACACAGCAACTACAGAAATTATTTTTTACTTAATTCTAAAAAGACGTATGTATAATATGCATCGTAATTCCAATGCGTGATTAGTATCCAAAACAGTTGAATATTTTTTCCACCGTACTAAGGCCATATGTTTCCACCCTACCAGTGTCAACATAGCTATCAGTTGCGTAGCTTTGAATAATATTTAAGGTACAGTTTCGTTAGACAGAATGTAAAGAACTTTAGGTTGCATACGAGGGCGACACTGAAAGTTTTTAGAACTGGCCACTTGTAAATGATATAATAAAAAAATAAGTTCAAATTTTGATAATAGAACTCTTTGCCAATATTATTGTGTACGTATTTTATTAATTTGTCATTTGTCAGTGGCTGCATTTCTAAATGTCGTCGAAGAGATCCCTAAGGACGAGTTGGCAAGGTGCTTTTCTCAGTGATTCCATCGGATGCAGCGACGTATTGATGTAAATTAACACTATTTTGTAAAGATGTAATAAAACTAATAGATTGCTAGTTTATTCAGTTTTTGATTTTCTAAGAACTTCCAGTATCACCTACAATAACTTTACTATATGTATTTAAATTTTAGAGATAAAAACTTCGAAAAACACCATGAAGCCGTTACGATGCGCACGCACACTGACAACTCAAAGCGACAATTTCATTGGATAACTCTCTCTCAAGGTTTCGTGAGAATTGATAATTATTTCAAGGTTACGCTAAAGAAGTATAACTTCCTACGTGCGGAAATAAGTAAACACACACACGTTTTTAATTTGTGGTGATATTAAAATACATGCGTGTGTCGTGGAACACTTGGTTGGAACGAATTTCCTTTCGTCGTATATATATATATATATATATATATATATATATATATATATATATATATATATATATATATATATATATATATATAATTATTGTGAAACGTATTATATTATTGACTAACAAATACAAATAACTTAATTACTAGTGTCTATTAAAATCAAGTGTCATTTAAAATAAATTAATATTTCTTTTATGGCGATGTAAGAAAAAGTGCGAGGGAGATGGATATTGTTACATCTAACTTCCTTATAGCCGTCAAGGCCGTCTACACTACGTCAGAAGGGCTCGCGACGGAAAAATCTTACACTTTTTCTCGCCTAGCGCCCATCCGTCAAATTCGTACCGTCCAATAAGGAACTTCGTTACAATAATTTCATTCATTAACTCATACTACACTTAACTTTTAATTTTAGTTTGGTACTTAAGAAATAATATCTTCCAAAGCTAATTTCAGCCACGGCGGCCATTCTTAACGGACACTAACCATCTTCCTAGGTGTTAATTATAGTGTTTAGGTGTGTGTGCAAACTCAGATGCACTCACTATTCCCCCACTCTCATAGCTGGATTAGGCGGCAATCCTAGACGACTAAAGAGAGATCACGTGCAGGATTCACGGCTAAGCTATTGGTAGGCTAGCCCCTCACTAGATAAAGTGACGTTCTGGTGAGACTTGCAAAAAGTCGATGGATGCAAATGGCTCAGGACCGTGATTTTTGGTATTTCTTGGAGCAGACTATATTCAGTAACGGATCTATGTAGGGCTGTAAAGAATAGATTTTTTGGTCAGATTCACAATTTGCACCCTAGACTACACGATTACTAGTCAAGCTAGCGACCTCTAGATAAACGAATCAATCAAACTTTGGACTTGAGACTTTAGGAATAATGATCTAATGAGTCATTATCTTCTTGTAATTGCAATGTGAAATAGAAACTTACTATTTTACTGTTCTAATCATTGAGTTTTTTTGCTATGAGAAGGATTACAGAGCTAACTTATGCGTGATATAACCACGCTGTAGCTATATTATATTTGTAGTACGAATTTTCCGGCTCGACTGGGATAGGACTCTCGCAGAATATCAGTGTAAAATAGCAGCTGATGTTGCTATGTTTCGTATGGTGAGGGTAGAGCAGAGAAGACCTTATTACTGAAAGCAAGGTATTCCATCTTAGACCTCAAGGGTGATAGTCCATCTGCATTTTGATTCTCAGTTCGAGATAAATTTAGATGTATATTTAGATGTATATTTGGGACCGAATGCTAGTTTGTCACTCTTATTCTAAAAAAATGACTAAAAAAGTAACGGCTAAATTAGACACTCTTGCTTTCTTCCACAGTGTCATATCCTATAGTGTATTATCTCTAGCTGAAACGGAAACTATACTCATTTTGTAAAAGCTAGCGATGGGGCAACCTATAATTTGGTAACTCATAACCCGTGAGGTCACCAGTTATATTACCCTTCAAATAATTTTCTAATATTACGTCTCAATACGAAACTAATGTTTTGATCCTTAAATCTTTGTTTATTTTTGAAAACATTGAATATGTGTCGAAAAATCACAGACATTAACAAAATTTTTCTCTGCGTGCGTGATTTTATTTTGTACGCTAATCCCCACAATAGCTAAACAAATTTGGATGCGGTTTTCAGTTATGAATTTAGAATATTCAGTATTCATAGGTTCCCCTGGTGTTACAGTTGTTCATGGGCGTCGGTAGTCACATACCATCAGGTGAGCCGCATGCTGGTTTGGCCCCTCTCCTATAAAAAAAGCTTAGTGCAGTATTTAGTGTTTTTGTTTGTTTCAATGAAATGGTCTTCAAATAAAATAGATATATAAATTTAAAAGTGTCTTACGCGTGCGTTTGATGTGATTCCTGTACAAATCGGGATAAAAGGCGCATTTCGGCTGCTTAGAACTAGTTAAGCGATTTCATATGCGTGATAACGGAGTACTATTGTGGAGTGGAGCGGATGATACATTTGTGCGTGTATTTAATCGCGAGCACAGCTAGATTATTTAATAAAAGGAGGGACTGCCTATAGAAAACGGAAGCTAGATGTTTTTAAACTTAAAACTTAAGCTTAAACTAAAAACTCTTTCTGAGCAAATGCACAAAATTTTACAATATTTTTTATAGTGAAACAGTATATTTTTAAAACATTAAACCTAAAAAGTTGTTTAAAAACTTGGTTCAAATATCAATATAATAGGGACCATGATTTTTTTATAGGATAAGGGTAACAAGCGAGCACACCTGATAGTAAGCGATTGTTGTGACCCATGAACATCTACATCTATCCTTGATTCCGAATCAAAATGCAGATGCGTTGTCACCCGTGAGGACTAAGATGGAATGCCACGTTTCCAGTAAAAGTGAAAGGGGGAAAGGAATATATTTTTATGTAAAATACTAACTAGCATTATGCAAATATGGAATGCAGTACATTTCATGTAAAAATAATATATAATGTAATGTATTTTATATTTATATAACATAAAAAAATTAAAGTAAACAACAATTCAACATTGAACAACACAAAATTTTATAAAAAGAAAACATATTATATTCAATTTTATTTATTGCCAAAATCTTATTAGTTATTAAAGAGACTACATTCTATGTCTATGATAATAATAAATATAAAGAAATAAATGATTCGCAAGTATGAAAATCCCCCTTTAGCCACTCACTGGCGAATAAATATAGTTGAGACTACCTCATCGGAGTTCAGTCTGTCGCAAAAGTTTGCCTCCATCGCATCGATATCAAAGTCAAACAATAGTCAATCAATAATGAGTGCTGTTCCTGTGGTCACCTTCAACAACGGACACACCTGTCCCGTCATCGGCTTGGGCACGTGGAAGGTAAGTTGAACTTTTCTTTGGTATTTATTTTATTAAGTTAGTTTAGATTTTTAAAACGTGTGTTAAAAATCTAGATCGATCAACTTTTACGATATTATATACAGCAGCGTTTTAAAATTCAAGTACGGTAGGTTTCAAACTTAACCTTAATTTTAATTACTAAAACGTGAGGGTAGATAGTAAAAGAGAGATGAAAATGATTCTAGAAAATGGGATATCACGAAGAATGCGAGATTAATAAGATTCTTTTGATTATTCTTGAACTAATTTGGACTAATTCTAGCTATTTAAGTTTTAACTTTTTATGCTTACTGTTACCGTCACAACGTATCAAAGTCCACTGTGGAACATAGGCCATTTACCATAGCTGCCACGCCAAGGAGGCTGGTTGATAACCGTAGTTTATTTTTATTTTTTAATTGTTATTAGATAGTCTTTACGTGGTAGAGACATGCTGCAGCTATATTACTGGTATAGTTGTCCCACGAATGGAAGGACCACGTCCTCACAGAATACCTGCGTAAAATAGCAGATTAACGCTGCTGTGTAGAGAACCGGATACCCTCATTTACTGCAAATGAAGCATTCCATCTTAGGCCGGCCACATACATACGGAATTCCGTTTCGAGATTCCGTTTCGGAATCCCAAACGCGTCGGCCACACACATACGGAATCCCGTTTTGCCCGCATAATTTCGAACGGAAAACTACCGTACGTGTGTGATGGGTCATATATTTTATATGAACTTGCCGCGTTCGGAATCTCGAATCGGAATATTGAAACGGAATCCCGAAACGGAATTCCGTACGTATGTGGCCGACCTTAGTCCTCACGGGTGACAACGCATCTGCATTTTGATTTGTAATGGAGGGTAGATGCAGATGTCTATGAGCCACAGCAACCACTAACCATCGGGTGGACTGTGTGCTCGTTTGTCACCCTTATCCCATATCCAAAAAGAAAAAGACTGCTGCTGCTGATCTCCAGGTTTATTTCCCTCTCTCGCCTCTTGAAGACACCCACGCGACAATATGGGGTAGCGGAATATTCTTTCACCGTCGCTACACGGTCACGTTTTTTTATACATAAAAAGCTAAAAAGTTGCCAACCTATATACGTCCCACTGCTGAGTACAGGCCTCCTTACATTTCAGAGAGGGTTTTAGGGCAAGGAAATGTCCGCAGCGCTACCCCAATGCGTTTGTTGGCGAACTTTACATGTCTTCGAAATATTTTTGTCGTTTTTACGGTGTTTTCATCAGCGGGGATCTAACCCTGTGTGCTCGCGTGCTTGCCCCTGGGCTACAATCTTCACAAACAGACATTATTAAATCTATACCAATAGTTACTGAAACGAATACGTTCTTAAATTGCATTTGTCTTTTTTTAGTCTTTGAATTTTTTTTTAATATATAACCCTTCATAACTGAATCTAATATAGTGTGCAGTATTAGTTTTATGAATAAACGTTTTTAATCCAATAATCCAATTAGTTTTTTTTTTAAATATATTTAATAATAATAATTTTCATAATTCTTTAATGATAATAATTTTAACGTGTTAAAATTAGGTACGACCGTAATATTTTTAGTTCAAAAGAAGAAAAGATTATTGGAAGATATGTATAACAGTGTGATTAACAAGGCAATGCAATAATATCAGCACTATCGATAATTTAGGGTTATCGCGGTGAATAACGCTGTAGTGTAGATAGGTGTAGGTGTATTATATTTTTTATGTGGGTAAAGGTTAAATTTTAATTTTAGATTTGGTGCCCATGCACCATGCACGATTTGTGGGGACGGAATTTTATCTACTGTTACCTGTGAAACTGCCTTAATACCTATATCGTATTTTAATATGTAGGGTGTATTTGAGATCTCTCATAAATCGATTTTCATACGTGGCTTATTTTGCGGACTACCCTCGCAAAACTTTAATGTGATTTCGGCCGGCCACATACATACGGAATTCCGTTTCGAGATTCCGTTTCGATATTCCGATTCGGAATCCCGAACGCAGCGAGTCCATATAAAATCTATGACCCGCCACACACGTACGGTAGTTTTCCGTTCGATATTTTGCGTGCAAAACGGGATTCCGTTTGTGTGTGGCCGACCGTTCGAAATTCCGAAACGGAATCTCGAAACGGAATTCCGTATGTATGTGGCGGGCCTTCGAATGAATACTTTTTTGCTTTTTTATTTTAAAAATGGATTCAAATTAAAAATGGAAATGTATATAATGTACGATTCTTATATAAAAAACGAAAAGACTAAAACCCAGTTTCTCATAGACCATATTGTAGGTTGACAGTCCAATTTTTCGATCACGCGGTTGTCATTCTCAACGGAGACTGCGCAGAACAGGGTTATAGTGCACACTTGCACTCTCTATTCCCTCACTCTCATAGTCCGATTGGACTGAAATCCGACACGACCTGAGAAAGGTCAGGCGCAGGATCAAGGGCTATACGTGCTTTTAGAGGCACGGGTGTGAAACACTGCATACTTTTGGACTCCGGGCTTTGACAGAAAAAAAACCAATAACAGATTTTGATCCTACCAAGGATTTAAACCCGAGACCGCATGGTCAGCAGTTGCCCTTACGATCACAGGTCTAGAGGCAGTCAATAATTGTACTGGTTCTATTACCCTAACTAAGGAAACCCAACTATGAGTGCGGTTGCATCGTGGCAAAAAAATGCGAGTACCCGCACAGACGAAGTCTTAGGCTAATTACACCTTTTCTACCGACTTCCAAAAGGAGCCGGTACTCATTTCGATTGTATGTTTTTTTTTTATGTTACCTCATAACTTACTGGATGAACCGATTTCGATAATTATTTTTTTATTTGAAAGCTGGTGCTTCACATGTTGTCTTATAAAAATTTGATCAAGGTTTGACCAATATTTTTTGAGTTATTCTTAATATTTTATATTGAAGTCGGTTGTATAAAATTTTTAATTTTTAATTATTTGTTTGGTAGTGGACTCGTACGGTTGTTATTTTGCCAGTGTCTTTTAACACCCACCAAAAAGAGGTGTGTTGTATATTTAACGTCTGTATCTGTGTCTGTCTATGGCATCATAGCTCCCAAACGGATGAACCGATTAGATCGAGAGTGTTCTTAGCTATGATTCAAGAAAATCTTTTCAGCCGTTTGAAGCTCTTTGTTTCGGTTTCTTTTTTTAAGTTATATAATTATTTGTTTAATAACTGCTTCACAATATTATGTTATGCGTGACATTGCGAAGTTTTTGGAACATTATGATGGCACGCTTTAACCAGTCGATGACGATAACATCTCAAGGCGCCTAAGACAAAATAACTTAACGTTTAAATGACCACTGAAGCTTGCTTCATGCTTTCCACTAATAGTTCACATGCAGTCATCGGTCTACCACGTATAAAATATGCAGGAAGTCCAAGGATACAGGTGGGTCTGGCCTGTTTTTTGTGACGTTCCTTGAGCAAGACCTATGTTCAGCAGTGGACTTGCTGCATGTCTTACCAGATCGTCACTCCATTTATCAGGGGCTGCTAATATATTTATTTATCGTTACTGTTACGCCTACTAAAGTCCACTGCTGAACATAGACCTCCCCCATAGATTGCCTCATAGAGGGATACTTGCCATAGTTGCCACGCTTGGCAAGTGACTTGGGAACCGCAGTTTTATTTATATTTTTAGTCGTAATTAGGAAGACACTGCTCCCCCATCTCCTGATTTGTTTCCCTCTGTCGCCTCTTACGACACCCACGGTACTATATGGGGTAGTGGATATTCTTACACCGCCACAACACGATGTTTATTTAATTAATAAAATATATTACGTGTAATCGTAAATTAAGTAAAAATCTATAAACACTCAATTAAAATTAATTATGACTAATTAATTTGCAATAATTACTTGAAGATAAATTTAATTAATTCGTAATTAATTATGCTATCGGTGGATTTTTAATTGTATAATTCTTAATTTTATAAAGTATGCGATAACACTTGAAATGATATTCCATTTGTGGTATGTAGGTTTTACTTTATAATATATTAGATAGGGCTATGTTAGCTCAAGGGTTAGGCGCTTGAAGTAAATTTCAGTATGCTAGCATCCAGGGTTCGAACCCGCCGGCACCAATAAATTTTGTTAAATGCAATTTTAAGTATTGATTTACTACATCGTCGACGGTGAAAAATATTATGAGGAAACCTGCATAAAACCAAATAATAAAAAATATATGAAAGACATTTGAAGTAACTTCTTTGCTCCAAAAAGCCTCTCAGAAAAAAGAAGTCTGAGCCTAGCTGTGAGACGTATATATGCTTTAACTTCTATTTAACCCCCGATGCAAGAGGGATGTTAAGTTTAATTAACGTGTTTATCTGTGCATCGCTCTGATTGAGTACCTACTCCAGTTTGATGTCCGTATGAAAATTGTCAGAAGGCGATCAAGAAACTGTTAAAATTAATTAAATAACTAAAATATTATAGTATGTAAATTGAAGCACGGAAAACGCACGTTTACGAGACAGCTGCATTCATCGGCTTCCTACATGTCTCACCAGGTCCTCACCCCATCTAGTGTGGTGCCACCATACACTTCCCTTGCCTGCACGAGGCTGTAACTCGAGAACCTTCCTTCCCCTTCGTGAATTTTTTTATAGAATAAGGGTGACAAACGAGCACACAGTCCATCTGATGGTAAGTGGTTTCTGTGGCCCATAGACATCTACATCTATCATCATTTGCGAATTAAAATGCACATGCGTTGTCAGCCGTTAGGACTAAGATACAATGTCTCTTCCAGTAAAAGGGTCTCCGGTTCTCTACACTCACCATACGAAACACAGCAGCGTTAAGCTGCTATTTTACGCTGGTATTCTGTGAGAGCGTGGTCCTACCCCGGCGAACCGACCCATTCGTGCTACAACTATACTATTAATATAGCTGCAATATGTATGCTATAAATAATTTATGTTAATTTAAATACTTGTC